ATTGATTTAACTGTTTTTTATATTCTACATTTTGTTTCGCGTGTAGCCTAATTTTTCACCCTTCAATGTCATTGTTTTTTTTAAAAAATACTGTGTTGAACTAATTCTTGGAGCTACAGCTCCTGGTAACTTTTTGGCGAGCTCGCTATAATTTTTCTTATTATTATTTCATAATTTTGCAGCATATTGCGCAAAAAATTTTTAAGACCAAATAGGTCTTACTGCACAGTACTTAATAGCTTTTCAATTTTATATGTACATATATATATATATGTAACCACTTTTTCCGAATTTACTAATTTTTTATATCTACATACATATATACACTTAGCGTAATCGCAACAGTAAAGAAATCAGAACGTTTGTCGCGAATGGTACTGAATTATTTAGCAGTGTCAATTATCGCTGCTAGTTTTTTACACTAAGTCAATGATCAACAATCAACTCTGCTATCAGAGTCAATGATCTCTGTTAATTACTTATATTTAGAATTAAACAATGCAGCAAATGTAGATAAAACTATTTTGATTTAAAGTTTGAAGTAGGCAAGTATGATTATCGTATAAGGTATTTCTCCCGCCTTCTTAACATGCTTTCCTGATGTAATGGTCAGCACACTCGGCGCGTATTCGAGAGGTCCGAGGTTCGAGTCCCAGCGAGGACAATGCTCATTTTTTCATGCCTCCCGCTTCGAAATAATCTAATGTCTCTACAATTGATTAAAATAAGTAAAGATAACTATTAACTAAAGTAGGTGAAAGTCCATCTTCAAATTTCGATGAAGGAACTGGCTGCAATTGTTCTTCCTAGGGTATGACGTGAATGCGAGCCAATTTCTCTTAAAATATTCCTCCAGGAAAATAGGCTTTCCTCGGTAAAGAATGGATTTTTTTCTTAATAAATCAATCAACCTTCCAATCTAATACAATATTTTTCGTAATATAAACAGCCCAAAGAAAAAAGGGGGTTAAAAGCCTGAAAGAGCGAAAAAAATTCTAATGAAAACGGAAATATATTTGTATTATTCTTCAGTTCTAACATGATGGAACACCATTTGTGCTTTTGAAATTTATTAAATGATGTAATAGTGAAGCAAATTTTCATTTTCTTTATTTAAGGATTTAGAAGACAGCAGCTCGTGAAGATCTAGGATATCACTTTTGAAAGAAATAATATTGCTTATACATCTGAAAAGTAGTTAAATAAATTCAAAACTGAAGAAATGAGGAACAATATTTTTGTCCATTAATATAATTCTTCACAGATGTGTCAGCTTTCGGCATGTTAAAAGCAACCATAAAAGTAACCATCTGATAAATCAAATATCTTGAAAAAGTAGAAATTTACTAGCGCTGAAGGTAAGTAGCTACAGCATTGAATTGAATCTTCAGAATGCTGCAGGTTTAAGGTCAAGTGAGTGCAGTTTTTTTAATCCTGCACCGAACTCCGCCGCATGACGTTAGTTTACTTTCCTGTATAGACAAGCAAACTCTTGTCGAAGATTTGAGTTAAAATAACATGCCAAATAACGATTATTGAAGGAGTTAAAGCAACAAAAATCAAGAACCACTCCTCCCATAATCTTGTCAGTGAATTCATCTGTGGTATCTTCCAAGCATGTCAGGGCATGTCTGACTCCGAATGAGAAATTAGTTCTCTTATCTGGCAGTCATAACCAATGAAACTGCCTAAATCACGTACTCTAACAGCAGTGGCAACTTATTAAATATGTTTTCCAGAGATATTGTTTTTCTGAAGTAATCCCTGATGTTGTTTATTCAATAGAATATTAAACTAGTTTTCTGAAGGGTAGTTTATGATCAGAAATTTATTGCATCAACACAACTAGTTTGTAATTGCAAAACTATGGAACAACGCATGTCAGCTCAAATGGTAATGTTTCATAATATGGCTGATTAACATAATCCATCAGATTTATTCTAGTTTGACTGAAATTATTGGTTTCAGATTTCTGTACTCTTATAAGTAAAATAATCACAGTGTACTTACAATGCGAAAAATTAAAAATCACTCTAACTTTTTGGAATTGTTTGTGAAGCTGTTTAACTGGTTAATTGATTATTGCAAAGCTCTCGAGGGTTACCTGCCTTGGGGAAGATGCTTTCGTGGAGAACTTTTAAGCTTGATTTGTATTCCCGTTACATACGGGGAAAAGTATCAAATTAATATTCATGCTATAAAATATATATAGTTAAAAAGTGCCTCATTTTTAATTTAATGCCTGTCTGTATGCATTTCAGTAATTTGCAGGAGAATTCTCAAACCCAGAATTATTTATTATTTTTTGTCGCTTACTGGATTATGCCAAACAAGCCAAGTTTGGGGGATAAGGGAAAGCATATCTTCGGGGGGGGGGACTTTCAAAGGGAAATTGACTATTATTCAAGTTACACATACAGAAAATAGACAAACTAGCTGGAACAACAGTCCACTTAAAATCCGGGTTATCTTCTTTCCTTAAACCAAATAGCACTTGTAACGGAATGTCTCCTCCCCTGTTATCGTAGTTTATTCCCAAATAAAACAATTAAACAGTTATAAATGTATTTATTTTAGAAAATTAAAGTAAACAATGAAATTATGTCTTTAATTCTCCGAAATGTAAAACATGTTTCTTTTCCAATTAACTCAAAACAGTGAAATGGATTTTCAAGCGTGCTCAAAGTTAAACTAAGGATCTCGTATTTATTTTTGTGCACTAAAAAAAAAAAAAAAAAAAAAAAAAAAAAAAAAAAAAAAAAACTCAATCCCCCCCCCGAAAGAAACGTATGATATTTTTTATTGAACTAACATTAAATTAATCTATTGTTTCATCTGTTGACATAAAATAATAAAATAAGCAATATGGAAAATTTACTGTATGAAATACTTATTGTAATTCATCATGGCATAAATAAAGAAAAGTGGGCCTCTATACATTACACGACTGCTTTTCTCTTAAAGACACGGGTTACGTATTTGCCTAGCTATTTACTACAGGCTAGTCTATATGACGTAAAAATCCTTCTAATTAGTTTAGCTACTAAAACTTGTATGTGGCATATCAGGTTATTTAAACTAAATAAAAAAGTTAATTACACGTATTTATGTATGTGTGTATATATTACAATTAATCGTAATATAAATAAACATTTCGAATACTAGAAAGAAGAGTAAAAAATCTCATATTACCAACGCCAATTCTATGTTAAGATTGAGCATTGGCGGATTAGCAATGAGCTTTAAGTAAACTATTACTTACGGTTGATTGTTTATATATAAAATCTAACGTATTTATAAACTTTATGGTTCAATCTTAATTATATACACTACTCTTTTTTTATCATTCTGTTCTCCCATACAATGGACTATGATAACTATCCGTGCTCATGCACACATCAGTTCTTTGATATGCGAATGTTACATCGATCGTAATATATCCTATGGTCATATAGTTATTCGGATTCACAAATTAATGAGTTAATACTGCCTAATTCCAACCATATATTTAATGTTTACTAATGTTGTTTTCAAGCAATTATATACCTATTTTAAATATCAAATTTGAGAAGTTTAGGATTATCTCATAATATATATATTGCGATCAGAGCTTTGAGTAAAGTATCACATTCGGTTTATCAATTTTAGTCAAAATCTAATGTGTTATTCCCATTGATATAAAAGTTTTTAATACTAAAAGTGAAAGGTTTTGGATAATATTTTGAAACATTTCTTCGTCAAAAAGTGTTATCGGCTTCAAGTAAAGTACCACGTCCGGTTGTCCATTAAAGACTGCTATTAGCTTCCTGTAAACCTGCAATATCCTTCTGTAAAGGACTGTTCTAATAATGACTGTTATGTCCTTCCTGTTAAAGGCCCAATTACGGTTGCCCAGTTTTATCCCAAAACTAATCAACTTTTTATAAGAACGTAGAAAGCTAAATAGGGAAAACAGGAAATTTTGGAAACGTCATATAAGAGTTATCATTAATGAAAAAATCGTCACACATGTACAGACACATGGATATTAGTCTAAAAATAGTAAAAAAGTGTCTTAGGAACCCTAATTCGGGCTTATTCACTGAAAACTCGCTATCTACTTATTGGACCGAAAACACTACTTCCCTGGTTGGAAGAATATAATAATCCAGGTTACTGAATTTCCGGATGTCTGAAGTCCGGATAACTGCAGTTTTAGGTGTCCTAAAATCGTAAATAAATAAAGAGATTTAGTACTGCCTAAAGAGTGGAAATATATATATAAGTGAAAAGAATTACATAAAATTTCATAAATTTACATTACTGTATATTTTAACTTGGTAACTGCCGAAAAGATAATAATTATTAAATGCTAGGAGTTTTTACAGGAGTCAGCCTCACTGCGCCTGAAGAGGCTGACTGCTTTTTTTATTTCCCTTCCGGTATGTGATAAGAATACAAGCAGCCAATTACCTTACAAAATCCCTCCCCGAAATAACATACGAGTGCTTTACGTTAATCAAATAAGAGATCAGACTGAATGCGTAGGGTTTATGGATTTATACAATGTGTGATGGAATGCGATCCAGTTTCCTTTAGAAAATTCTCGATGAAGGCATTCCTTCAATGAGAGGTATATTAAGAAGGGAACCTTTAAGGATGTTTTTATTTAATATTTAATATAAGCTATCAATCAAGTATTCATCACTTGAATTTTGCAAAGTGGAGGTATTTATCTAAGTACAATCTATTTTAAATCTAGCATTTATTTTGCAAGCACCCAGTAGGTAAGCTCAAAAAAAAATTTTTTTTTTTTTTTTTTTTCCAGCTAAACCTGAAAAGCAGCTTTTGTCATTTAAACACCTCCGCTTTATCTACTGTAATTTTAAAGAAACCAGTATCTCCTGAAATATAATAGAAGTTTCCCACAAGTTGTGCAATAAGCTATATATGTCTTTTATCTCTGACGGACCATTCCGTCGACCTGCTGACGCACGCAAGTAGCAGTGCTTAGATATCAATGATTGTTTTTTCTCTTCTGAAATCCGTCGCTCTCGAAGAAATCAAAATTAAAAAAGTAACTAAATATCTAAATATTTAACGGGCGAAAGTATTACAGGAATAGGCGTGTCTTGAAGCTCGTGACTGACACGTGCACACGCAAATAGACTAAAAGAGTTTCGAATTGTCCTCAAGCTTCATTGGTTGTCTGTCTGCTCAGCACGCTTGCTCGCGAAAAGTTCCGTTTTTGATAATCGGCCGCAAGTTTTTGCTACTCATTTCTTGTCTGTGAAGAGCCGCACGCGACGCTCTTGCCGCTCAGTTGTGCATTTCTCACCGAAAGCTAAGCGGCTTTTAAAAAAGGAACTGCAACTGACAAAAAGAAGAAAATTTCCAGTAAGTCTTTCTGTGACTCATTTAAACTCGCGTTACTTAAACATTTTCAGACATCTTCTGATATTTTTATTCTTGTGTTAAATGTGTTTTTCTTTTTCTTAATTTAAAACACCGGTGGAAATAAAATGTTGTGGTGTACTTAAATGTTAAAATTAAGTTCATTTCTATTACATATTTTTGCGTTTGCTTGTAATCTTTGCATTGCTAATACAATTCGGCCATATTTTTAAAGGTATTCGTAATTTATTCTATCACTTAAAATATCGCGTTTTATTTTTCTTAATTTTTAACTAAAGTTCTTCAAACTTGAATTACACTGTCATGTTAACATTTTCGAATGAGAGTATTTATGCCCAATAAAAACTGTGTTTATATTCATTTAAAAATATTGTACTGTTATAGAAATATCTCCTGAAATATCTCACAAAATCTGGAATTCTGTTTGAGTTGCGGGTTTCGTAATAATCTTAGAATCATATAGAAAGACTTATTACAGAATTTCTTAAACTGTCCCCTCCTTTTTAAGGCAAATTCTAAAAACTGTATATCAATAGAATCTATACCTTATTTAAAAACTGTTATTGTTTCATAATTTTCTAAAAACTGTATATCAATAGAATCTATACATTATTTAAAAACTGTTATTGTTTCATAACTTTCTAATTTAATTTGGCCAACTTAATGGCATTAAAAATTTTTATTTGAAATTAATTAGACATTGAAATTAGTATAGAAGTTTCGGCATGTTAAATGTTACTTATGTTTTTATGTTTAGCGTAATTTTTTATGATACTGAAGTGTGATTTAATTTAATATAGCAGTACTTGCTCATAAGGTTTATGAAAACATCTGTGTTACACGTAAATTTATCAAAAAATTATGTTCATATTCATTTTATGAGAAAGGTCTAGGGAAGAGAGGATTTAACCCTTTTTACTTCCTTGTGCGAAGAAAAAAGGAAGTATTGTAACCGTGAAAAATTTCGGGTATCCTATTTCCTCGAAAATATACATTTTGACCGCTATCGAATGCAATTTAACGGAGCTATGCCTTTAATTAACCTGCATGTTATAGTTGTATAATTATCAAGAATTTAAAAGTTGTTTAAGTGCTGCTAAGCCCAATTTACTTAGCATAACAGCCATATTTGTTTACATTTGAAACTTAGCTAAATAGTGGATTTGTTGCCAATCTAGAGAAACTAAGCTTGGCAACAACAAAGTAACGTCTTCTTTTATTATTGCGAATTAAATTGTACATGATTCATTCTGGAATTATCATTTAAGTTATTAAATTATCTCGTATATTGACTCAGCATAGCGTTCACAACAAATTAAATCAGTTTCTATGCCTTCAGTGTCTTTTTGGTGAGTGAGACCAAAAGCAAGCTTTCAGTTTTGTGCACCGAAAAATCTGTCTTCTTGCACGCTGACAGAATTGCTTGTTTTTGCGTAGAAGCTGTAATTTAATTTTTTTTAATACTGTATTTGGTGTTTTATGTTTTTCTATATCTTTAAATTTTTAATAAAGATATTTTGTGTTTTTATTATTTTTGCCTTGCCGCGAAGTGAGAACTGAATTAATTGAAGGAGAAATACATCTCTAATGAAATTCGAGGAAATAAGTGTTTCATATTAGCAGAAAATACTGTCTTTTTCGAATAGACCAGAATATTTACGAGTAGTACATGCGCATTAGGTAAGCAGCGCTGAATCGTCTGTGAAAAACTGTCTACTTTTTATTTCTTTAATTTCTTTTATACATGGTTTTAGATTTATTATAGTATTTGAATAAAACACGTAGCAACGACTAGATAATTCTTCATATGTTTTATTTGTTTTTTGCATTCTGAGTTATAAAATGAATGAGATGTAACGCTGTTAAGTGCTAGCGCCAGAGTATCGCTATGGTAAATAAATATGGTGAATTTTAAAAAGGGCATTATTGCGCTAATTTAAAAAAGCGCTATTGTGGTTTATGCGCTATCGTTGAAGTACTAGATTTAAGTCAATTCAATAAGTTTAAATTAAATGAGGGGAAAATGCGTATAATTTAATATTCCATACAAGGAAGTCATGTGGTGTACACATCAGATTTTTTTAAAGGTTTACGATGTATTTTTTGTTTTTTAGTTCTTCAAATTACCGTTCCTTTTGCCAAAATTTTAATAATACGATTCTGCATTTTAGTAAGTTTTATCCTAATGTTTAACGTTTGTCTTTCCTTATGTCCCGATAACAGTCTATAAAAGGCATATAAAACTTCATATGCATTAAACAGATTATTTAATGTGAGCGATTGACATTCTCGTTCAGAATGAAATATGTAAAGATAATATCCCCGTGTCAGAATTGCTTGATTGTATATTTTACAATAGAAAATATTACTTTTTCAGAGTACTGAAAGGGATAACACTGAGATGTTTCTTCCACGTTACTGCGGTAATTCCACTTTCCTATATAGGAATTTCGCACCTTCTTGAAACGACTGTCTTTTCCTCCTTAAAGAAAACTGTTCCACTGTTAAATTATGAGATCATTAGTAATTATAACACGATCATTAGTATGAGATCATTATAGGAAATTGCATGTACATCATGCAAATGTAAATTCAGTTTCTCTAGTGTTAAAAGTAATTCTTAAGTTACGTAACCGAAAATTAAGCGACTTAATCAAGCCTAATACTTTTAAGGAAGTGACGAGAATTAAAATTGGGTAGCTATGTACGAAATTAATGCTAAGGAAATTCTTTAATGAACAAAAATAGGAAAAAGAGTGTAAATCGATTTGCATAACGGACGTCTTTCATTAGTTAAAATAATGTTACAAATGTTTATAATTATCAACTGGATATATTACAATTTAAACATATTACAAAATTTATCAATTAGATATGTTGTTTAAAAATTAAATAAACATTTAACTTAATTAAAAATTGCGTGTAATGAATTTTAAATCAATCGATTTTTTAAGCAGTTATAATTTGAAACACAAATGAAAGATATTTTCTCGCGTCGAATGGCATCATTCTGGAAACTACCTCTTTGCCTGACTGTGTGGAATAGGTTTGGAATCTTTCTTCTGCCGTTAAATGACAACGCTTGTCACAGCGAATGGGTGATAAATAGCACAAGCACGTAACATAATAATAATGCGATACTTTAAAGGCTCAGCTAAAAAAATATTTCTAGCATTGAAAGAGACTTAGAACGAACAGGATTTATTATTATTGAATCCTCTTTTCCGATGGCCGAGCACTGGAGTGTTTAAAGATAGTATCACACATTCAAAACATTTCGAAATAACAACTCCTTACAACAATTTTTCTTATTTGTCCCACGATACGAAACAGCCAGTCACCGCAGATTGTTTTGAGATTTCCATGCAAAGGGAAAACTAGTTCTCCAATACAAATGATGGCTGATGACGGGGGATTCGATGCTGAGAGCTGATTGGTTGTTGAAATCGAAAAGCTCACAATTTTTTGCAAAAGAAAAGAAAAATCGTGCGTCTTACTTTAAATGACAAAGCAGGTAAAACAAATTGTCTGAAGCAGTTGTTCGTCTGAAATAAATGGATGTGTGATACCAACCTAACATACATAGGAAGAAGGCAGAACCCATCAGTCATTTTACTCTCTTCTCATTGAAAACGTTGTCCAAGGCTATAAGGAATAGGCCGATACTGCTCCCGCAACAGGTGGTAGAGCGGACACAAATAACCAAGCCTTAAATGAGAGTCAAACCTCTCTCTGTCTCGCCTTGGCTCCCAGCCTCCGTTAATTATCATCCAATCCGAGGCGATACGTTTCATTAATAACTGAGTTTAATTGTTAGTAGCTTCAAATAAATGTGTGGTTAAGTTATATCAGAAGCATGATTTCAGATATATAAAGTAATATTTGTAGAACTATTTTATCATCAGTGTGAAAAAGAAATAAACCCCAAACTGAGATCAAAGTAATTTAATTATTTATTTCAAATTGAAAAACGAGGCATGATCGTAAATTAAAAAACATTTCATTGAGATCAGTACAAAAAAAGTACTCTATGACGTCAGAGTCTGAAACAAAATGTTAATATCATGAACTGAAATTCTAAGCTGATTTATTTCGTGACGCCTGCCTTCAGTTTCGTTTCAAGAAAATATTGTCATAATGTTAGATCGTTATGGACGAAGTTTGAGGAAAAGGGCAGTATAAATAATTATTTGATTGATTCCTTACATTTGAATCTTAAAAGCTTCATAACTAATTTGTTTGCTTCCGATTTCTGTAAGCTTATATAAATCATTCCTAGTTTTTGTATCTGGCTTGCCACTCATGAAAAAGTCAAGGCTAATTGTTAAAAAGTAACCCACAATAATGAAAGAACTAATAGGAGAACTATACATATCGATGTATTTTTGTAGCTATAAAGACAGCTTAGCGACTCTCAATGTGAAGAAGGGGTAAGATTTTTTTAATTTGTGAGCGTGACACCTCAAACGTAGCTATATCTAGGAACAAATTCCCGAAGCTAGCAACAGTACATAAACAATTAATCAGTAGTAATACTGTTTAATTGTTTACGTACTTGTTTAGAATTTTATAAAATTTGCCAACATTTTCCCGTGATTCCTTTTGTTTATCGATATGGGCAATTTATGAATACAAAGCTCTTTATTTTATTCCCCTCGTTAAACTATAGTTTTAGCTAATTATAACGCCAATTACATACGTATTATCAGAGAGGATCGGGATTGGCGGGGAAAAAAAAACCCTGAGGATCATTCAAAAACAACTGAAAGGTTTAACACTTTTCTGTCTTGGCTCCTAATCGGAATACTTCAAAAAATATATATATTTGGAAAAAGTATTTGCTCCTTAAAATGATGACGTACTTAGCAAGATATTGCTAATATTTGCTTCGATGAACAATATTTTGCTGCATATGTTAGGTGATCCAAAGTCCGACCACGGTGATTCTGTCATGATTCAAAGGCAGTATATGAAGTACCTCA